GTATAAACACATACTTCTGCAGTCATGTGCACATGTGGCAGAGGGTGCTCATACACGTGTGCATTCTCACACATATACGAAGGGCAGATGCTGAGTGACATCAAGTGTCTTCCTAGATTGCTTCACATCTTGTCTTTGGAGACAGGTTCTCTCATTCAACTTGGAGCCCATCAATTGGGTGTGGCTGGCACGCAAGTAAGTTCTAGGAAATGTACTGGTCTCCATCTCTCCAATACAATGCTGAGCTATCAGACTTGTGCAAAGATGCCCAGTGTTTACATAGGTGATGTGGATCTGAATTTTCATAACATTCCTGAGCAGCAGATACTTTACCTACTGGGCCATCACCCCAGCCCCTTAATTCCATCCTCTATACAGTTATACCCTTGATAAAAATCAGATGCCTAAGAGTTAGCAGTTGCTTGCTCTTAGCTGCACAGATTTCCAGCTTCTGTAAACTCTCTCACACAACCTATTTTATTTTTTGTTCCTCTCATGAATGGAGGTTTAAGGTAAGAAAAGGGAAGGGAAGTGCTAGGAGCTAATTCTGCAAGTCACTAAGAATTGAATGGTTTCATCACAACAAAAGCAAAGCAACCCATGAATCAAATTTCTTTAAATTGCATTTGTAATCAGTCATAAAATAAATGGCTGTCAAAACAAATTCCCCATGTTTGAAGATTTGCTTGAGACCACATGAGATATGAGCATACTTTTCAGCCTATCTTTGGAGGGGAAATATTTTTCTAAGTTTTATATAAATGAATGATTTTCTGACTCCATTGAAAGGAGATCAAATTTTAAGAGTTTAAAATGTTATACTGAATGTCTTATTAAATGCTTAGCAGATGTAACAGTCTTAATGTGTCCTTCTAAATGCTTTTACAGATAAGTGTTTATGAAACTGGTCATTGATATATCTTAAATCAGAATGGGAAGACAGTATAATCAACCACACTTAAATTAATGTGCTTAGAAGAATTAAGAATTAAAAATGCCAACTGCAAAAAAATATCTCCTCAAATATTTACCATCTGAGAAAAACAGAACAAACGTTATGTTGTGCACATTTATTTGTCCTGGTCACTAAAGTTCTTTATTTTAGCTAAGTGGCGAACTAATGTGGTGTAGCTGAATCATCCTGTGTTCTTGAGTTGACTGAAATTCAGAGAAGGAGGCTAATATGGACATCAATATGAGCATAGAGTATGAAACTAGGGTTTCCAAAGTTTAAGAATCCTTTAAGATTCAAATTCAATGTTCTCAAAACAGCTTCACAAATTCTGACTCTGGAAGTCTGGGGCGTAGTCCAAGCACCTCTGGCATTTTGAGGAAGGAATTCCACAAGGTGTATGTGAAGGCACATTCTTTAGAAGTCCCACTGAAGCAATAGCCACACCTCTTTTTTCCTCACAATAACAAAGCCCTCACACTGAGCTGCCACCCAGCAAACATTCACCAATTTTTCTAATAAATAAATGAGCCACTGTGGTTAGGCTTCATTGTGCATGGTACAAGCAAAATGTGCTGTGTAAATTCAGAATTATGCTCAGTTTCTCTATTTTTATTTTTGTAAATTAAATTAATATTTTGAGACAATGTCTCACTGTGGAGCACAGATTAGTCTGGAACTTCCTGTGTAGCCCAGGTTGGCCTCAAGTCACAATGACTCCCCTGTCTCAGTTTCCTGGGTTTTGGGATTACAGGTACATACTACCATAATCTACTCAGTTTCTCTCTTTAGGAAACAGGTCACCTTGAATAGGGCTAGAAAATACTGCAAATGACACTGGGGATAATGCTGCAGAAATAAATATCTGAGAAATGGAACTAAGTGAGTTTGATTCTATCCTTTGCTTCACAGTGAGTTCATTTCCCTCCATTGACTTGTTGCATCTGGCTCTTGAGGGCTGACCTCCATCCCTCTGTGTAGTGTCATTGTTCCATTCAAAGAAGACTCAGTACTCTTTAAAGCTCACCCTAGCAAGCTGACTTTCCTCTGATGTACAAGCAGAATAGTCCCTTTGGGACTGCTAAGACAAATTAACTCCAGTTCTAACCATGAAAAACATATAAAAGTGTAAATTGGATGTTGAAGTATGTGATTGCTATTTCCAAATCCCAGTCTTTGGCACCACTCTTCACGGAGGCAATGATGTTTTTCTAAAACAGTTGCCCTGGCTTTCACAAACAGCTACAGACATTTTTATGGTAAAATAAACCACTGGAGTTAAAATTAAACCGAAATATTCTGATGCATAGACAATATTAGAAATTAAGAATGTTATAAGGCTTGGGGTGAAAAGATTGGTTAAGACAGTAAAAGTGGGTGGACAAAGTAGGTGAGGGAGGAAACATCACAGGGAGGAGCGAATGTGGGGATGGAGGGAGGAACTGTGAGCAAGCTCTTCTCTATCAGCCATGATGGTGAAGGGAATGGAACACCATGGAACACAGAGTGACCCTGGGACAGGAGAGTCCGAGTGACAAGCTACATAGACACATATGGGACCTGTTCTGAGATTTTCCTAGAACAGAAGTTCTCAGAGAGTAAAATCTTGGGACTGCAGTTTTCCAAGCTGCCTATTCTGGTCTGTGAGAATCCGCCAGGTGATAGGAACCATTACTGAACTTCTCATACATTGACACAAGCTCGGTGACTTTAAAGATTCCTAGTGCGGGAGAATTGTCTATATTCTGTCAATCATGTTTTAAATAAACGCTGATTGGCCAGGCAATCAGTATAGGTGGATCAACGAGACAGGAAGTAGAGGTGGAGTGATGAGAACATGAGAATGCTGGGAAGGAGAAAGCCCACTCCTCCGCACCCCTACCCAGATCACCGAAGAAGCAAGATGTGACCTGCCCTGCTGAAAAAGGTGATGAGCCATGTGGCTATCTTAGATAAGGATAATGGGTTAATATAAGTTATAAGAGTTAACAAGAAGCCTGAGCTAGTAGGCCAATCAGTTTAGAACCTAATGTAGACTCTTGGTGTGATTTTCTTTGGGGGCTTACCAGCTGTGGGAACTGGGCAGAACATAAACCCCAACAAGCCGGCCCTTGTGTTACAGATTCCCACATTTTACTTTTTCACTGAATGAAATTTCATCAACCAAGGTGAGAAAGAACAGGGGGAATGAGGAGGGAAACAAAAGGTTCTTTGGAAGGGAAAATGAGGGGTTTCAGATGGAATATATGCCTGAAGAAAGAACAAGTCAACACAAGGGACTTCAGATAGAATATATACTTAAAGAATGAACCAGTCAACAGTCCTGCAGGTACAATATCCTCTCCTAGTTTTAAGACCTGAGAAGATCAATTACATGCTAAAAGTCACATGGAGGAATATTTATAGTTTGTGGTAGATAAAAGCCTAGTTTCTTGCTTTCTTTTTCATCTTCTTCTTTTTTTTTTTTTTTTTTTGGTTTTTCAAGACAGGGTTTCTCTGTAGATTTGGGGCCTGTCCTGGAACTAGCTCTTGTAGACCAGGCTGGCCTTGAACTCATAGAGCTCCACCTGTCCCTGTCTTCTGAGTGCTGGGATTAAAGGCATGCACCACCACCACCCAGTTTAAAAGTCTAGTTTCTTTAACTGATTTCAAGACGTTCCAGTTGGATATTTATAATATCACTTCTCTAGTATGTCTTCCTAGGGAGTTTTCAGTCTTGGAACACAGCAAAATAGTTCACATTTAAGGCTTCATTTCCAATTTAAATGATTCTGCTATCATTTCTTTGGTAAATTGTGTGTATACAATATAATACATGTTATAAACACATATGTATTTATATGAAAGAGATTAAGCCTGTACACATGTTTAGAGACACATTTGTAAATGTGTGTAACTTATGTTCTAATTTTAGTGTAGACAGGACAAACACTGATGTCATCAGACAGCTCTGTCTGTGCTTCAGAAGTTTCTTCCAAAGCCACCTGGGAAAAGGGAGGGAAGAACAGGGGCAGCAGAGGCACAAAGTCCTAAGGCCTCCCATGCTCTCCTGTCATTGCCCTACTGTGCCACAACCTTTTCAACTCTGACCTCAGCGCTGACGTCAGCCTCCTAAGCCCTGAGCTCACCCTGACAGCTTACTTCCCTATTATTCATTGCATCTATGTGGTTTTTTTTATAAGGTATCTGAATGGGTAAACTTATAGACACTAAATTAATTCAACACAAACTCAGTATCTGAAGTGGAAGAGTGGTATAAACAGTTCACCTCCTTTACAGGCTAGACAGGCAATGGGCTTAGAATCTGTACACCAGAAAACAGCAACTATTTTGCTTTTGGTGGCTAGAGTCAGGTATGTTTCCTTGTATTTAGGGACAGAAATGACTAAAACATGGAAAACAGAACTTAAGGAGTAGCCAGCAGTCAATTAGTAACTTGCTTCATTTGTTATAAGAAAGGCGACCATAACACGAGAATCCTCTGAGATTCCATTTCATTTCTCCAAGCTTTGAAACTTTGCTCTGCTCTCACCAAAGGATTAAATGTTAGTTTACAGAGATCTACAGGGATGAGCTGCACCATGATAGAGCGTTCACATTTTCTGTTTGGTAAATAGGATCCACAGTAATGTCCCTTTCCATAAGTAAAAATAAGGACAAAATTCATCCTTCTTTAATTTTGTTTTTTATTAGTTCATTTTCAGAATTTCACGTTTTATTAAAAATCTGAACTTTTTTGTCATTTAAAAAGTATGAACTCTTAAAAAAATATTTTAGACTGGGTCTTCTATGTAGCTCTGGCTTGCCTGGACGGGGCAGTGAGAACCGGGCTGGCCTTGAACTCACAAAGATAAGCCAGCCTCTACTTCCCAAGTTCTGTGATTAAGGCATATTCCAGCACACTCAGTCAAAATCACCTTAATTCAGTTTAACTCACAAATATAAACAGTCCACATCTAGTTTAAGGGAGCTACCCTAACACTTGTCCAGTCCAAAACCCTGGATTTTAGTCTTCAGAAAACCAAAATGAAAATGCAGAGTCACATACCTGTGTCTGTTTAGGGCCAATATCCATCCTCTTAAGAAGGTCATTTAAGAAAGCGGTCACGCTCTCCCAGGGGTAGATGCTGTTGGAGCCATCTAGGACAATGACTATGTCCAGCTGAGTGCCGCATTCTACGACAGAAGGAAGCGGTGTGTGAATTTGATATCTACCTTCTTCAGAGTAAGTGAAGCATTTTCCTGGCTGGAAAAAAAACTCATCTTAAAAGATAACACTGATGTTATACAAAGTGGACCCACTGTTTTTATATTCTTTTAGAAAAAAGAATAAGTGAAGTCAGAAATACTGCATTTGGTTATAATCACTTTGTGACACCCCCACCCCCACCCTCCTTCTGACACAGGTATCTCTGTTTAGCCCTGGCTGTCCGGTAACTAGCTCTGTAGACCAAGCTCACCTTGAACTCAGAGATCTGCCTGCTGCTGCCTCCCAAGTACTGGGATTAAAGGTATGTCCCACCATGCCCGGCCTTCTAATTTATTTTTATTAATGATATGCATGTCACATTTGAGTATATTCTCATCATGGGTTTGATACTGTTTTTATTCTGTACAACCCCCAAGAAGTTATTCTCCTCAAAGGGATTTACCCTTTAAATAAACCAGCCTGACAGCATTAGCCACAAAGTTTAAACATGATTATCAAGGTTATTTACACTAATAGCAATTTCAAAAACAGGAGCAAAGTTTGGTTATATACTGGCAAAGCAAATATTTGCCCAAGTTGGTAATGCTAGCAGATGACAGAACCAAGAAGCCGTCTGGTATGCTCTTGTGTATACATAGAGCTCACTCATTGCTCATGGTTTCCAAGGTGCAGGAGCATTGCATTAAATGTGTACCTTGCACAGGGGCAAAGGAGTTCACAACTTGAAATGTAGGGCTGACATCAGAACAGATTCCAGTTGTATAATGCAGATGTCCACATCTGTAGGCGTACAAAGGCCCACATGCCTTTAAAACAATAAAAAACAACACCCTTTAAAACTGAACATAGTGTAACAAGTTTCAAAGACATACATAACTACATTCCTGTTTTTATGAAATATATCACTCTTTTCTTTCTCACCAGAAATCCTCCGTTTGGGTTGGTGACTAAAGTTGATCCGAATGTCATATTTTCTTTTATTTCTGTGACATTGGGAATTGATGTGTTCACTACAAAACAGAGCAGAATTTCATGAGTGTGAAAATATGTTTCATCATATGAAGTGAAGTGTCTCCTCATTAAAACATTCTATTTGCCTTGCTCATCTCAGAGCACATTCTTGCTCTGGTTCAGCTAAATAGACTTCCCGGTACTGGGGAATATAATGAACAAGTTAAGGCTGAAGAGCTGGCTGGGGGCCCAGAGATGCTGTCTCTATCACTGTTTCAAATAGTTTGGCTGGACTTCGAAAGAATGCAGAAGTAGCAGGGCAACGAGAAGGCGGGATTGGTTTTCACACGTTTTCGCTAATTGAAACAAATGCATTAGAGTTTCGTAAGAGTACAGAGATAATTTATGTTCTTTGTTCTAGACAACCAATGGCAAAATTCGACTCCTGGGAAGAAAACTGAATATGCATAGAACAGAAAAGTCCAACAAAGAGTCTTTATCGTGACTTTCAATATCATAGGGACACCATGAGAGCTGCAAAAAAGCGGGATCAAGAATAGAGAAGTGTCCCAGAAGTTTGGATGGAGAAAATATGGTGAAGGGACTTCAATGGATGTTCCAAAGAGGAATGCTGAGCCCCACAACATTCCAACCTGACAGAACTGACAAGAAGTGCTGCTTAAACGTTCACGGTAAAAACTGATAAAAATGGACATGAAAAGTGAAGACTTTTAAATTCTGCTTGGAGAGAAATGGATAAATATTTGAAAGCAGCATGATTCAAGCTTACGGAAGACTCTTAGCATGGCTCGTGTCTGCACATATTCTTGCCTACAGGCTCACAGTCAACAGGGAAACAGGTTTCTAGACGGTCCGTCTCACTTCCTATTCTGAGAAATGGGTTTTGTTCAAGTATTTGGTCTGTCTTCCTTTGAAAGCATCCTTTTCTTCCTTTCCAATTCTCTTCTATTGAAAATAGATTTTTTTTTTCCATACAATATATTCTGATTGCGGTTTCGCCTCGCCCAACTCCTCCCAGGCCCTCTGTGCCTCCCGTTCCATCCACACCTTTTCTTTCTCTCGCTGGAAAACAAACAAGAATCTAAAGAATGGTAATAAAATTAGATAAGGCCAGATAAAACAAAACAAACAAAATGAAATAGGACAAGACAAACAGAGGGGCAAGAGCCAAAAGAAAAGCATAAGAAACACACAGACACAGAGACACACATGCTTACACACATGAAAATCCCATAAAGATACAAAACCAGAAAAGCAATATTTGTGCAAAGTCCTGTGATGTTAAATAAAACAAAAGCCCCAACAAAGCATTATGAGTCAATGGACCTGCAGATGAAAGCATCTCGAATTAGGCTACTACATACATTGGTATTGAATGACCTGTATTTGGACTTTAAATGAGGGTTGTCCGGGATCTGTATTGCTGAGACAATTAGAGGCTATCGAAATGTTTCTTAGTGTTAAACTTTCTGGGCTAGTTTAAAAACTATTCTAGTTTTCAGGAACGGAGGATAAAACCTAGAAAAAGGGGGAAAGAAGCAGGAACCAGCTATCAAAAGTCATTGGGAAGTGACCTCAAGTCGGCAGGTGCTACAGAAGACTCCACACATGGGAAAGAAGAGACTGAACTCTTTGGTTCTGTGCTTCATTCTGGTTTTATTTTTCTTTTCTGCTTAAAGAAAGACTCTATTGGCAAATAAAACTCAAACAGGAGTCCCATACTTACTGTCTTGATGAAAAAGAGGAGAGAAATTTAGGATCAATTCACCAAAATGATCAGGGAATATCTTGAAAAGGACCCATAAGAGGCCAATTTTATGTTTATGCATTCTGTCTATGCATCTGAACTGTCTGGATAGGTAATGTGGAAAGCAGAGTCCACACAGCCTAGTGGAAATGAAAAGAACCAAATAGAACTCTAAGAATTCCTAGCAGGAAATATCTGGGAGTGCACTCTGCCAACGACATTGCCTATTAATGTTTTAAAAAACTAATACCGCTCAAAGGAAAATAAAAGACTGAATTTCTGTACTTATAATTAAAAATATAGTTCAGTTTGTGATGCAAAAGTATGAACAACTAAGGAAAAGGCAAAAACTTGAATCCAGTGTCAAGGAAAGGTAGCAAACCAGACCGTGACGTTGAAGACATACTTGATGCTGCCGTTGTCAGGCAGGGGGTGTACAAACAGCTAGGGTATGCTCATGCATGTACAGGAAAAATAGTCACAGTGAAGAAAGAAATTAGAAATTGAAAGCCAGAGATCTGAGAAACGTGCATTATCTGTAGTGAGCTTGTGGGGATATAGAGAATTTCATCGTTTTAGTATTGTACAGATACTAAGAGAATTCTGAATCCTCTCTAACTTTTGGAGCAATTTTTTAGTCATACTACAATCAAAGCGATATTTTATCAGAACAAAGCTCTTTTGATATAGCTATCTCTCATATTTTAAAAAAAATCTATTAATAAATTGAATTAATGGAATTTCTCTCATTCATTTTCCCTTAAAGTCTCAGAAACTAAGTTGCATTTTGTGGGAGGCCTGTGATAGGATTTGGCAAACCACTAGTTTTTAAATCTTGAACAATGGTAAGAAGCAAAGTTACAAACAGAGTAAGCAATTTGGATTCATTGCTTTTTTCCCAATGCAGTACAAAACCAAGTGAGGGGTAGAGGGATCCATGGTGTTATTCTTTGTGAATTTTAGACAGCAACTGTGGAATAATTTATTTATTACTTTTAATACTTTATATTGATAAATTAATATTTTATTTTAATATTTTTGATAAAATAATATTTTGTGTCACTTGAAAGTTTATTTTCTTCGGTGAAAATATGGCCACAAATTAGGATGGACTGTTTGATTTAACATACCTGGTAAATCCAACTTCACACAAGGCATTGATCTTTCTCTCCCAACTGGGCACTTATAGACATCTCCGGTTCTTGCTTTGGGTTGACCAACTAGAGGAGAACCAATAAGAACCCTGGAAGTTGAATAAAGCAATTAAGAAAATTAAGCATAATGAAACATTTGTTTTCATTATTTTATGGTCTCATAGAATATCTTCAGGAAAAGACACTTTAATATGTGTGATTATTAAAGCCCTTGGGTGGATCCCCAACTGATGCTGCCCTTAAGAGCAAACAGCTACATTCAGTCTCTAGGACCCTATCATATACTGTAAAACTCTGAACTTCAAGACTGTCTGAGACTATGTTCTTGCAAGCTCAGAGATGACACAAAACACACTAAAGTATTTAAAAACCATATCTATATATAGTTGGGAGTATAAATATGTTTCAACATTCTAGAATAATAAATATAGATGAACTAAATCTCAATACGAACTTCAGTAAATAACTTTACTAAGCTGCCCATTACTGTCTCCATTTGTACAGGATGTGGGAAGCCTGATTTAATGGGAGTTCATGTGAAAAGTCGTAGAGGATTTGGTCGACAGCACAAAAGCATGGGCCCACAGGGATTTCAGTGCCAAATATGCTAATGTGACCTTAGGCTGGATTGCTGAAAATAGACGCTCTGGTCAAGGAACGCGATAGCCCCTCTGTGTTCTGCCCTGGTCGTGTCTGGAATCCCCACTCTAAGTGGAACATAGGCACAATGGAATGCATTTAGGAGCCTGTGACTCAGATGGGGGAGAGTCAGGCAATTCTGTCAGGGGAGAGATGCTCTAGAAAAAAAAATGGTTCATTTAGTAAGAAGGAAAATGGTCAGAGAAGGACTAAAAGGTTAGGGGGTGGTACAAATGGCTCAAGCAAATATGTCCATAATTTTAAATACTTGTAAATTTGTCATACTAACAAAGGATGAGAATCATTTTCTATAAATTCTCTGTAAGAGTTTTCCTTAATATAAAGAAACTTATAAGATTATAAATATCAAGCTATTAAGCAGAATTCTTTAAATATATAGTATGATGTACTGACTGAACAATCTCTGATGTACAGAAAGAACCAAAAGAGTATTTCTTTTAGGCTACATTTCTTCTAGGAAATCATTATTCAAAATGGTCTAAGATAAGCAAAAAAGCTTAATACACAAAGGCAATACTAAGGGGAAATTAAGAAATAAGGATAACAGCAAAAGTAATAGATTATTGTAGGCACAGTCTGTAAAACCTTGTTTTATAGATGTCCATGAGTATATACAATAGGATGAAAATTTGTCTGTGACCTAATTCAAAGAGAAACCCTAGCTAATTTAAGTGAAAAACTGGTCTAATTTAAAGGAGATGAAACCAAATTACTAAACTCATTATGGTAGCACTGATAACAGTCAACAATTATTGAGTTTATGCCGTGTGCCAGACACTGTCCTAAGTGCCTTCCATACTCCAAATAATCAAATTCTCTCTGTAGAAGACAGAATGTGCCTTAGTGATAGTCTTTGTGCGTTGAAACTGTGGCTGCAGTGTTTGCTAGATTTCTGGTTTAAGATAAGTCAGTTACCCTGTTTGAGTCTTAATTTCTCCATGGCCAAAATGATGGCAGATCCTTATCTCACACAATCATCATCACGAAGGTCAACAGAGCTGAGATGCGCAAAAGACTTAGAACAGCATCTAGCTCATTACGGGCTACCTAAACGTCAGATATTCCTGTTGATGTACCTTTATTTCAGACTAGTAACAATTGAGTTCTGTGTAACACATTGATCTAAAAGAAGGCATTGAAAAGCACAACTCATTATAGCAAAGATATTAAGATTAGTTGCTTTTACAGTATTTTGTTTTATGCAAAATGGCTACATAGGTTGATGGTTAAAAACAGATTAGAGAAATTAGTGTCCCCTGATTGAAACTACTTATCATGAGGCCAGATAAGTTAATGCTTATTAAAAATGGGGCTGGAGAGATGGCTCAGTGATTGCGAGCACTTGCTGTCCTTCCAGGCGGTTAAAATGTCCATAACACACGTCTGGTGGTTGTCAACTGCCGGGAACTCAAGCTCTTGAAGACTCTGCTCCCTGTTCTGTCCTCTGCGGGCACTAGTACACACACTGACATACCCTCGTGTGCATAAATAAAAGAGGAGTCTAACTGGGCATGGGAGGTGTGCCCTGGTGCTTGGGAGTTATCAGCAGCAAGAATGAGAAATCATAAGTTCAAGGCCATTTCCAGGCACATAGTGAGTTTGAAATCTTCTTGAGCTATACAAGACACAACTGAAAATAAAAAAATAAATAAATAAATAAAAACATAGGCATTGCACATTCAAGCTAGGCCAGGAGATGAGGATAGAAAAGGGATGAAGGTCAATATTTTCAAGTGTCTTAAAATGAAGCATGAAGACAATTGTATGTATTGCAGCAGTGAATGAATCTAAACGGTGCAGACTCAGCTAAGTCATTGGAAGAAAACACTGCTCTGTCAACAAGGGCAGGAAGGTCACTGGAGGTGGATAGAAGTTGTGTCTAGAAAGTTAAAGGTGAGGTTCAAATCATGAATGTTAATATAGTCCATCGTAAAAACTTTGTAGATTTAAATATCACCAAACTCGTATGTGTGTGTATGTATGTATGTATGTTTGCACATATGCATGCATTCATCCATTCATTCATTCATTTTTGAGGCAGAATCTTGCTAAGTAGCCCAGGTTGGCCTTCAATATGTGGTCCTTCTGCCTCCACCTCCCAAGCTCTGGCCTAAAGGTTTATGTCACCACACTTAGCTTTCACTTACAGAGAGGCATCATGGGAAACACATTTGCCTACCTTGCTGTGGATAATTTGGAGGGAAGCAATGTTAGAGGGACAGGCCAAAATTCATACAAGACCTAAATTAAGGAACTAGAGAGGAAAGGAGAATCAATCTTATAAATAAATATTTAGGATATAGGCTGCTTCGTCTGGGTTTCTCCCAACCGAGAGCTAAGACAAACAAAATACAAACAAACAAACAAACAGAAAACAATGATTCAGAGAGACTCTTAGGACATTTCTAAGCATGCACAAGTGTGGAGTTATAAAAGGGAGAGGATGAAGAAAGTAAATATGGGTATGGAAATAAATAAATAATGGGTTGCTTCCATAGGTAATAAACATAGTGTGAGTCCGGTTGTAGCCTACAGGTACATATTACCTCCTGAAACAATGCAGTGTAAGAGAGGACTGGAAGCTAGCTTGTATGTGAAAGAAGAAAATCAGGTAGGAGTGACCAGAGATAGAGAGGGGAGGACGTGGAACCAGTGGTGTCCAGAGCGACAGGGGGCAATGGAAGCTGCGAGCTGGCATGAGGCCTGTTGTCCTCTGTTAGGCCAGAATGGGTTTCTTCACAGCGTAACTGCCTTCGATTTCCAAACAGTGACATACGCTGTGTCTAAGGCCTTGCGTTGGAGCGCAGAGTCACTTCTGCTACATTCATTTTACAAAGCAAACCCCCAATTCAACAGGCACCAACAGATTATTGTCTTGAAGCAATGAAATTAAAATGGCAATCATAAAGAGATGCACAACTCCAGCTGTCTGCAAACCTCTCTTTTTTGGGCTTCTTAGAGCTCTAAATTGTAGCCTTCCTCATTTTTCAGACAAGCCTGTTCCTTTCTGAGCTTCCTATACAGTCAGGGACTCTAGTACCTCTCCTGTCACATCAGCTTTCTGACAACCCTTAAACAGAAGGAGATGAACTCCATAATGCATTTCATTTGCTTTAAATACCTGAGGCTTTGTTGAAAAGGTAAGTAGGTAAGTTCAAATTCACTAGCATAGCCTCATCTCCTTGATGTTTAGCCAAGCTACTGGAAATAAAGTGGCTGTTAAGCTCAGAGTTTCCACTCTCGCCTGATGTTCTGGACCCTTTTCCTTCTGACTGTGGTGCCACTGGCTTACTGACGCTGTTCACACAGGAGCTAAGCGATCTTGCACCATCTGCCTTTGGTTAAGGTGCTAACTGACTGAAGTCAAATGAGTGAACCCAAGGGGCAGAAGGAATAGCATAATCCTCAAAATCTTGATTCTTTAGGTCAGGAAGTGGTGTGGTGGTTGGTTATCCAGCAACAATAAGTGAAAACAGGAAAGACATTTCCTCTTGCTCCGGCTTTTATAACCTTCCTTTCCTCCCTTCCAGAGTGCTCCCTAGGCCTTGGGTGCAGGAGTTGTGCTGTCCATGTGTCACTTGGGACTGGGCTTCTGAACTCGGCATTTTGGCCAGTTGTGGTTCACTGTACTTGTCTCTGATGCAAGGAGAAGTTTCCTTAACTTAACCTGAGAACTACATCCTGTGGTAAGAGCTCAGAGGAACAGGAAATTTGCTGTGAGACTGTGTCTCCTAGAAATGTCAGAGAAGCTACATCTATGAAGTCTCACCAACATGGCTGCTTAAACATGACCTGAACAAGGGCAACAGCAGCGGACATGTACACACGGGAGGGGAAAGCTCACGGGGCCTCAACCCCACAAAAAGAACTATAGGCAATTGGAATGCTGAGAGCAGGAGAAATAGGCTTCCCCAAGGAAGTGTACTTAAAATGGTTATTTAATACCAAATAGTCAGCCCTGGAAGGGAAAAATTATATGTGTGTGTGTGTGTGTGTGTGTATAAATATATATTACTATATAATATATGATATAGTTATATAATATAGCTATTTAGTAATATGTAATGTTATATATAACTATGTAATAAGCATATGTATATTTATGGTCTATGTTTATTACATAGTAATAAGCAGCATTATATGGACTGAACAATTTTTTTACATAGTTACTTATGATCAAAGAAAGAAAGGAGCCAGTATAGCGGTTCATAGCTTTCCCAGTACTCAGGAAGCAGAGGCAGGACGATCATTGTGAGTTTGAGGAAGCCTGGTCTACATAGTGAGTTCTAGAACAGCCAGAGCTATATCAGTGATGTGGGATTCCCCTCTGTATGCTGTGATTACCATTAATAAATAAAGAAAACTGGCTTGTCCCGATAGAGTAGAACACAGCTGGGCAGAGAAAACTAAACTGAATGCTGGGAGGAAG